AAATGCAGTTTGGCTACAGCAAGGCTGTCGGAAATGGACTTTGGAATGGGGGGATCGCACAAAGGCCAGACCCATCAGGACGCAACTGACTCCAACAAGCGTGCGAACCAGCAAAAACAACAGCCCGCTAAAACCTGATAAATGCGATGCCGGAGCTGTTGCAACAAAACCGACTTGTTTTTGCAAGCTCCGCCGGCCGGGAGGGCTATGACCAATTTTCTGGAAACCAGAACTTCTCTGCCTGCGGAGACAGCCTTAGACCCTGTTTCCCAAGCTACAGAACCCGCAAAGAGCCAGCCAAAGGATCCAAACTCGACAGAGAAAGAAACAACACCAGAGGTGGAAAAGCCAGGCTCGGGGATCCTCATGATTGAGGACAAAGCCAGAGCTGCAGACGAAGCCAAGCCAAATGACCCAAAGAAAGAAACAAAGGTGGACGAACCTGCAAAAGCAGCCCAGCCAAGCGACCCAGGGAAAGAAACAAAGGTGGACCCTGTGGAACCTGAAGCGCCTGAGACCAGGAGAAGTCGGAGTTCAAAAGATGTCCCAGAAGACCAAGCCGACGAGGTTGCCTGCACAGTCCCACACAAAGAAAGACCTTGAAGGGCTGAGTGAAGGTGCTTGTTTTGTTTTTCTGATACATATTACATATGTTTTAAAACAATCGCAAGTGTTACTTTTTCTGGTTGGTTCATTCACGCCCCCTGCAGATCGAATCCTGGAGCTGTACCAATTGGGCTTGGTCCCTGCGTCTCTCATCAACACGTTCAATTGCAGAAAGATGGCCATGCGTTTGCGTCGGCGCTGTGTAAATGAGGGGTTGGAAACCAAGTGCCCTAACGTTGCGAGGTTATTTGCTTCGCCAATGGCTAGCCAGTGGAGAAGTCTTAGACAAGTGTGAGCTTTCCCTGGAGATGACAAAAGAGGTGGAGAATATGTACGAGCGTGAGGACCAGCTGCTTACCATCGAAGGTATGCGTAAGGCTGGGGTTACAAAGACACTAGACATGTATTGTGTGCATACATTTCTTTTCACCTTTTGCTGTTGATATGGATGTTTGTCGTAAAAGCAAATTTTGACAATTCCAAAACCCAAATGGCAACTAAGGAAGAAAATCCAGGCTGTGGTCAGCACCCGTCAGCCAATCCTAGGTCCAGAGTTTCCAGAAATTCGGGAAGAGGCACGATACCGAACTTCATGCAACAACGTACAAAGATCCAAGATGTCTTTGAAAGGGGAGGTACAAGTCAAACCAACAGGTGAGGTAGTGCAAGCTTTTGACCTCTGGGGACAATCTACCTAGTAAAGCCCTTCCTGGAGCAGTCAACATGACGGAAGTTCTGCCCAAAATTTCCGAGCCCCAGCTGACAGGGGCTTGGTTTTTGCATTTTTAAATAAGCAGTGTACAGTTCCAGTTTCTAAATACAATTTCTAAATTTCCAAGGTGTGGAAGATCCACTGCCCAAGGCCACGGGGCGAAAGAACGCAGGGGTGAAAAGCAAAGCAAAAGCCAACCCAAAGCCCCAAGAGCCACAGACTTAGGAAGAGCAAGTTTCTGCATGCTACGCCTTGAAGTTTAATCATTTAAATCAACCCATACAAAAATAGTAGAACATATGTTTACACATTTCTTTGCAGGTAATGATTTGCAGTCTTCCTACAATGCGTGCTCGGTGGCTATGGAGTTCCCAAAAAGTCACAACCTCAAGAAGAACCTAAACATATCAAAAGCAGAATTGGCAACTTTGGTGGACAGTATCAAGGACTTTAATTTAGACGATAAGAACTTGGACGAGGGGAAGTTGGAAGCTACCATGGTTTTGGCGAAGCGGAAGGCCCTATATAGGTCAAAACGCATTTGTTATGATCATAGTTGTAGATTCTTTTTGCGCTGTCCTGTCAGATCAATTCCACCAAGATGACGATTGCGCAAGCGAAAGCTGTCATTCGTGAACTAGCAAAAACACTGCGGCTCCTTTACTAGAAAGGCTTCACATGTTTACGGAAAAACACTCATGCGGCCTAATTTGCTTTCCCGACCAAGGCTAATTATTTTGGATATGAGCCTTGATGGAGCCCTGACTCGGATAGCTACTAAGGATGCATACGGCAAACTATATGCGGGGTAAAGACCGCAGGGTGTAGCTCCACGGCAAAGAGCTTGGAAAAAAATACGAGCCATCAGCCATCTCAAAAAAGACCACTTGTAAATTAGCTTTTTGGATTTGCGTTGCTGTGGAGGCGGCCCGGTTCCAATACATATTCGTGAAGAGTTGGATCATTTGCCTCTTGAATTAGTTTATCGGCCGAAGTTTTCTAGGATTCTAATAGATATCTTTTTGTTGGTAAGCTAAGGCTAGCGGATAGCGGAATCTTTTTTGGAAAAGCTAAGGCTAGCGGACGCGTGGGCAATTGGAGCTGTCTATGGTTCTATTGGCTTTGGAACTTTTGGCATAACATTCAACTTTTTCATGACTCGGGACTTTTCACTCGAATTTTGGAAGTTTCCCCAATATGGTTTCACAATTATGACACGCTGCTTTTATTCAAGAGTTTGAGGACCGGGCGTGGCTATTCTGGGGAGCAGCGGTTGCGCAAGCGCCTTTCTCAAGCTGGGCTTTCTTTACCGTGCAAGGTCGAGGAAGTTGAAATTACCATTTGCGTTGAAGACGATGATGGGGAGGACAGAGTGGAGATTGTACAATGGCCAGTTCTGCTATCACATCTTTTTTGAAGCTCTTGCCAAAAAAGGCTTGTCTCATACTATGCTGGGTTCACGATCTGAGCATAACAAATACTGGACATCTATGAGCCGTGATTTTCCAAACCACCAAGTTGCAGATCCACAGTACTCAACACCACTGGTTCTGTATGGAGACGAAGCCACAGTATTTCGGCAGGCTTGCACGCGTTTTCGCTTTCACCCTCTACTCTGCGAGAACAAGACCAATGCAACGCTAAGTCGATACCTGATAGCGCTGGTACCCAATAAAAAAACTACTGGGTGGTTCTTGGTTCAAACGTTGAACATTTTTAGTTGTCAGGGCTGCATGTTTTGTTTTTTTGTGATCTGCGCAGCGTGTCTTTATCTGGAATTTGGTTGTGAGGTGAATGGAGGACTTTGCAAGCCCTACTATCGGAAGTTGTCCACTTGTTGAACCAGCTTTCCCGAGATGGTGTCTATGATCCAGTGACGGAAAAAACGTTCCAGTTCCGCGCGATGAGTGTGAGGGGGGACTGGAAGTTCCTCAAGCAGGCCTTCAACCTCACACGACACCCAGGTACTGAATATATTTGCTGGAGGTGTAGTGCGATCAAGGGAACTCGACCAAACGCAGCAGCTTTAAACTTTACAGACCTGTCCGCACGCGCAGCTTGGGTTGCTACCATTGGGGTAAGTGAGGCTCCCTTCAAAGATGCGCCAGCAATCACCCTGCTCGATTTTTTCAGTGAAGACAACAAATCAATAGATGTTTTGCATTTGGGAGTGGGAAGAGACATAATGCTGATGCTGATCCAACATTTTAAGTTGTTTTAATATACAAGATGTTTTCTTGCTTTCGGAACAACCTTTTTCTGTGCTGGTCGGGAAATTGAATTTTGCTGGAGACCTGCGTTCCTTGGAACTGAGGATTGGGAGTGTGGTGTCATTTCTGTGCCGCCAGGGCTACTTTGAGGGTATTTGGATCTGGTGGCCTCAAAAAAAAGAGCTAAAAAGAGCGAATGCTCAACTTCGGGCATGGTGCAAGCGTACGGGCTATCGTGTGGCGCTGAGACGATTGACAACAGTCAACCTAAATCTCAAAAAGGATTCCTACCCTGACCTTTGGTTCTAAGTTCAGCCGGTCGGTCTTGTGTTTGGGTTCTTGTTCAATTTTAGTGTTGAGGGGTTTGGATGTTCCTCGCTTTGGCGGACTAAGGAGCTGAGAGCTAAAGGCTACGACTGCGCAGTGCTGGGGATGTGGCTATGTGATGAGCTGGGAGGCTGTCCAGACTACTGCAATGATGTGTACAGTTTGGTGTGGGCAGCAATTTTTTTCTTTACTGTGCTGCATTCCAAAGACTTTTATCCCGACAAGAAGCGAGTCAAACTCGGGTTGTGGGTCAGTTCTGGTTGAAACTTTGGCTTACGTTTGCAAATGGTGAGCTGGGTCGATGGTGGCTACGCAAAGTTTCACCTACTCTTTCATTTTGCTTGCGCAGCTGATGATGGCAACAGCTTGCGTTCACCCATGTGCGATGGAATGTGGATGGACGAAGGGTGGATCATACGAATCGCTCGGATAATTCGAAAGACTCACAAAAAACCAATCCAAAGACGGCAATTTGCCAGTACCTTGTGCTTTTACACTTTTACAGCAAAAGCTGTTCAGGGCAAAGCAGTGTGAACGGATGAGACGAGTGGGGAAAACATGACAGGCAAGGGCGCTGCGGTAGACAGTGTCGGGTTGTTTTGAACTCTGTGTGCGTGTTTTGTGTGGGGAGGCAGGGGTGTTTCTGGTTCACTTACCTAAGAGTGTCTTACAAGAGTGTTCCGCAAGAGTGTCCCATCCACAAATCCATTGTGTTTTGCTGCTAGTCGCATACGATTTCTGGTTCGCTTGCCAGGTCTTGAGCCGCAAATCCATTGTGGTTTGCTGCTAGTGGCATGCTATTTTCTGGCTCGCTTGCTAGGTCTTGGGCCACAAATCCATTGTGGTTTGCTGCTAGTGGCATGCTATTGACCAGGTCTTGGGCCACAAATTCATTGTGGTTTGCTGCTTACCGCAAGCTAATTCTGACGTCAAAAGTCAATTTGTCAAACATTTCTTTCAAAAAACATCATTTCGCGAAATCATAGCGGATGAGCAAATGCAAAAACATATTTATATAACAAATGCATCTCTAGGAATCTTCATTGCCGACTTTGGTCCTTGATATGCTCCCATTCTGGGAGTGGGAGGCCAGTGAAACTTCATGCTGGAACAACGCCGTAGCACGATGCACCAAAATCAAAACGTCAAAGAGCGTCGTCTCGAAAGGAAGAGATTGAGCTATTGAAACTGTGGACCTGGCGGACCTCAACCTCCGCGTCAACCCCCTCAGGCTGCTCTTCAAGCGCACCAGCTGCCCCAACTATCCTGGTGTCAGCATGCACCTGTGCAGGGACAGGGTCCTGAACAGGCCCTTTGAAACTATGTTTGTGGAATTGCGATTTCATGATTCCCATTTTAACTACCAAACCACCATCTGATGATATGAACGGTTTGCTGAAGAACAAGTCGAACTGAGAAGGTATGGGTACTCCTTTGGCAAAAGCAACTTGAACCTCACACCTCCTGGGCCTCCTCCTCCAACTCTTTTTGCAAAGACGGCCGAAGATACGTGATACTCCTCCTGGTCATTTGGCTCATCCGCTTAGCAGCAAGGCGGGCGGTAGCTCCAGCAGCGCTCTGACTGACAGGGCGAAGTTCGCAATCGTCAAACAGAATGTCCAAAGCCTGACCCACAATACGCAAATCATAGGCAGAGATTTCAAAGGACATTTTCCTTGGCAGCGATAGGCAATGTAAAAAGAACTGCAAGCTATGCAGAGGATAAGCTGCAATGCAGCTGCAAGTCTTTGATTTGGAAGTGCTACATACAGTGATGAGTTCTCTTTCACACGGACAAACAAACTGCCCAAACCAACTGGCACCGATCAACCAGTGGCCAAATCGCCCTTGCAAACGAATGAGAAAGCCTCAATAGTGAAACTATTCACACAACAATAGTGAAACATAATAGAAAGCCTCATACTGAAACTAAGGCGAATCTTCTTGAGGAGGAACTCCTTTTGCTTGTCCGTCTTTTGTGCCAAGCTCATTGTGACCAACTCAATGGCAGAGAGCACGTCGTTGGCATCCGGCAACGCCCCTAAGTTGACAATCTTTGGCTCCCTCCTTGCAGCAAAGCAGCGCTGCCATGCCAGGAGGGCCAAAGAGACAAACCAAACCTGGCCACGGATGCTCTGCTCATGTCTTGCAACCTATAGGCCTATCGCTGCCTCTGCATGGCTTGTCACCGACTATAATTCTCAGAGCGGCTTTCAGGAGCGGGCCGCAGGGGTGTGTTGACTAGATAAATGGCTTATGTATATGGTTCGGTTGGGGCGTCTTTAGCTCGCCCGCTGAAGAAACTAATTACTAGCGATGCTGGAAGGCCCTAGGACTAGAAGAGGGTCACAAAGCAAACCTTTGAGATTGCGACCCAGAAGCGCACGCAATGACGCCGATGCTTACGTAGTAAACACCAACTCCCACCAATTCTAGCACCACCAGGGAACGATTAGCATCTTCCAAATGCAATGAGATTGCAAGCAACATGAGGAAGAGGCTGGTTGCTGTTGCGTCGACGATGTTGAGAATGGGTGCTTTCCACGGCAAGAAATAGAGCTGCAAAGCAAAAGATATTTGCAACACAAAGAACATCATGGTGAGATTGATGCCTGGTGAATTGGTGGCAACCACAGCTGGGAACGATAGCAAAGGGCCCCGGATCAGAAGCGTCAAACCAAACCACCAGGTAGATGGTCGGTAGTTTGCCAAAAGAAAACCAATACCAACGAGTCGATGCGGAGTTGATCTAGACCACACAGGTGCTTGGTGGCATGCCCAAGCGCAAACGATAAAGTGGGTCATTGCCAAGAGGAGCACCACAGTGCCTCCAATTTGCATGGCCCAGTGCTCTGAACTGTTGCAAAACGTGTTTGGATACTTCAAAATACTGTGCGTACCGTTCGGGTGTAGAAAACACATGAAGGGCACCATGCCAATGTTGCACAGTGTAGTGAAGCCAGACTGCAAGAACTTCCCAGTGACGCAAATTGTTTTGTAGAAGTTCCACGACAAATCGCGGCGTTTCAAACTCGGAAGGAAGTGAGAGAGGGCACCCAACGTTGGCAAAGTCCCAGTAACTGCCAGAAATACACCCTCAGTGAATTGCAAAACGAACACCCTCTCCACTGCTCAAAGCTGCCAGCGATGTTTATAGCGGTTTTATTGGATTGTAAATGAATAAGGTTTGCAACAAATTGAGGCTGCTCCGTGCCTTTGTGCATGCTTCTTGCTACCGGCACCTAGGGTTGATTCATCCCGAGCATCTTACGTAGTAAAATAGTACGTTGCAAAGATGACTTTTAACAAACTGAGTGGTGCACACGGCCTTTTTCAAAGGGCTTCCAAATCCACGACCAACTTTCCCACAAGGATTTGGGGTCAGGGATTGGCCTTGGAACAAACCAAGGCCAAAAGTGCGTAAATCCTGTGCGCTCCAAACCCGGTTCACACCGCATCTTTGTTGCTGCACAAAGATTCCTGGGGGTCATAAATAAATGAATCTGCGTACAACCCCTGGGTGGTGCGCTTCAGCAACTCAAACCAGCTGGTGGTGACTCAGTCCGTGCAGAAGTCGGTAGTCGTGGCTACTTTTGAAAACGGTTCCGTCAAGATTTTGCTGTTTTCCTTGCGGTGGCAAAAGTCCATTCGAATGCGTATTGGGTTTGTCATCTTGTTCAGGCTTGGCACTTCTCACATCAATCAAATGGAAAAAGGTTACCTGCCTGAGAGCAACTTTCCGACACAATTTCTCAAGGGTCGAGTGGATAGGGATTTTGAGGAATTGCTACACGTGAAAACAGAAGGGACAAGAATTACATTCGTCAATGAAAGTCAGCATAGGTGGCCGGTCTCAGGCGAAATGTGTTGAAAAACACATGTGCTGAAATGGAACTCCCTCCTTCTATCTCCTTCTCATTGCTTTCATTGGACCACCAAGGTCGCCTCAACACCTGATTTCTAATGATTTCTATCACTGCTTTCCAGCAAAGGGCGTTGTAAAAAATGAATTTCATTGGTTGAAACACGTTAGCTGTAAAAACATTTTGCAGCCTACAGCACGGCTTCTTACCCGCCTCCTTGCTTGGTCGTTCGAAAGTACTTGTAGCGGGTTTCCATGACAACGTCCCAATTTTTCTGGAATGGGGCCAAGCAACCGCACACAGAACGTATTGCTGCATGTCGCCATGCGAGGCGCAGTTGAAACCCATGGCCTTGAGATTGAGAACAAAAATCGAAGAAAACTCGAAGAGCACTCTCAACTCGCCAGGCCATGGAACTTGTACTGCACTGAGGATGCCCAAGTTTTGCACAAAGGCTAGCATCAAATCTGTCCCTATTGACATGCATTCCTTCACCGTGGCACGAGCCCTGTAGCGTGGGTCTGTGCCATAGTACGCGGCTATCATCAGTACAAAAGCCGCCACAATGGCCACAAACCAAGTGACCTGACACAGTCACATTCAAATAATTTGAAGCATGATTAAGAAACCGTGTGTCAAGTAATTACATCTCCAATTGTCTCAATTTGTCCAATTTAACATTGAAACGCAAACGACACTATTGCTCCCAGGCCAAGAAACTTTCAGTGGTACTTCGCAAACAGTGCATTGGTCATTTGCCCAATACATTCCGGCCGCGCATTCCGAACAAGTAGGACCTAATCTGCCACCTTGGCAAGTACCTGGACGACCTCCTGGACAAAAGGGCTCAGGGCATTTGTAAATGCTGAGAGGTTCTTTTGACCAGCTGAAGTAACCCTCCAAGATTGCTGGGCCAGAAAACCCAGTCACATTCTGCCCAACCTGCAGCCCTTTGAGTGTGGCACCATCAGGGCATCGTATGCCTTCTGTGCACTCGACACATTCCTTGGAAACAGCAAACGTGCTTTGCCCAGCGTCATTTACGTCCATGGTTCCTTCCTTGCAAACACAATCCGATAACATGGTGACTCCCAAAAGCACTGTGGTGGTGCTGTTTGGACAGTCTTTGCACATCAGGGTTCCTTCTTGGTCTTGGTACTTACCTGCCTGGCACGGCGCACAGTTCTCAATCGATTGATAACCTTTCGATGTTCCCAAAGGGCAGGGCTCGCAAACCACAGCACCAGCCCCTCTTTGCTGCTGACCAGGTGGGCATGCCTCGCAAACGTAGGTAACACCCACGCTATCTACGATCTTCATAGAATAGGTGCCTGGAAGACACGCTCTGCAAGTGGTGGCTCCTGCTCGTAGAGTTGCAAAGCGGTCCTTTGTCTCGTCATAGAGCCCGAAACCTAGCGAACACGCTGTTTCAACCGGAATCCAAGGGCGCCACCGCTCTTCATTTGCCTTCAGCCAATTGCATGCTACTTTTTCCGAGATAAACCGCTTCCCTTCTGTTCTGCCATCATGCTGTTCACTGCGTTGATGTCAAACGTCCCGCTTCCCAAAAGTTTCACAATGTCAGGAGCCAGAAATTCGAGATCATGGCTGATCAGCTTGGATAATGGAGTCTCTTCTCCAGCTGTGGTGTAGACTTGCCGTTCATTCCACTCATAGGCATTGTAGGGGGGGAAAACTAATTTGGTAGGATTGAGGTCCATGAAGGTTGCATCTGGCGTCCACCAGTAGATCAAGCCTGAGTGGTCATGAAACAGGCAGCGCGCAATCGCCAAACATTTTCTAAACAACCCAATACCTTGGACACGTGATGTTTTGGTGGTGTGCGATGGACGCTTCATTCGGCCGCTAGAGACCAGTGTTTCCAGACTGGTGATTTTTTGCATAAAAGTTTGTTTCAAAGCTGTGTCTTGTCGGGCGCGAAACCCAGGTGAGATTGCGTTTTGGATTTGTCGCGGGCAACCCTCCGCGGAGATCGCGCGTGTCGAGGGCGCGAAATGCAGAGGTCGTGCGTGTCGAGGGCGCGAAACGCAGGTGAGATTGCGTTTTGGCCCGGTCCGGCGCAACCCTCTGCGGAGATCGTGCGCGTTGGGGGCGCGAAACGCAGGCGAGATTGCATTTTGGATTTGGCGTGCGCAACCCTCTGCGGAGATCGTGCGTGTCGAGGGCGCGAAATGCAGCAGTCTCACCTGCGTTTTGTCTCTGTCCGGCGCAACCCTCTGCGGAGATCGTGCATGTTGAGGGCGCGAAATGCAGCAGTCTCACCTGCGTTTTGTCTCTGTCCGGCGCAACCCTCTGCGGAGATCGTGCGCGTCAACGGCGCGAAATGTAGGTGAGACTGCGTTTTGGCCCGGTCCGGCGCAACCCGCGCGTCGAGGTGAGATTGCGTTTTGTCTGGCCAGTTTGTGCAAATGTAGTGCGGGAAAGAGCCTTTCGGGGCTGGACTCAGAAATGGCCAGTTGGTAGTGCAAATGTAGTGCGCGAGAAAGAGCTTTTCGGAGCTGGACGCAGACCTGGCCAGTTTGTAGTGCAAATGCAGTGCGGGAAAGAGTTTTTTGTAGCTGGTCTCAGAGGTGGCCAGTTGGTAGTACAAATGTAGTGTGGGAAAGAGCCTTTCGGAGCTGGAATCAGAAGTGGCGAGTTTGTAGTACAAATGTAATAGGGAAACAGCCTTGCGGAGCTGGACTCAGAAGTGTTTGTTTCTAGTGTCATATGATTGCTTCTAGTGTGTGGGCAGACCGTGCGGCGAACTACGTTCGTCACGTCGCCGTGCCATGCGGATTTGCCAGGTCTTGGTGGGAAGTCAGTGCGTTTGCGTGGCGCCGTGCCACTGGGGAGCGCGAGACATGCTGGTGTAAACACGTCGTGTCGCTGGTGAGCGGGATGATTGGCGGTATCGTGTGATTAGTGTGTGGGCAGACCGTGTGGCGAAATTACGTCCGTGATGTCGCAGTGCCACGCGGATTTGCGTGGTCTTGGTGGAAAGTGCGTTTGCCTGGCGCCGTGCCACTGGGGAGCGCGAAACATGCTGGTGTAAACGCGGTGCGTCGCTGGTGAGCGGGATGATTGGCGGTATCGTGTGAGAGGATTGCTTGTAGTGTATGGGCAGACCGTGCGGCGAAATTATGTCCATGATGTCGCAGTGCCATGCGGATTTGCGCGGCCTTGGTGGGAAGTGCATTTGCGTGGCGCTGTGCCACTGGAGGGCGAAACGTGCTGGTGTAAACGCGGCGTGTCACTGGTCAGCGGGATGGTCGGCGGTATCGTGTGAGAGGATCGCTTGTAGTGTGTGGGCAGAACGTCCGTGATGTCGCAGTGCACGCAGATTTGCGCGGCCTTGCTGGAAAGGGTGTTTGCGCGGCGTACCGGTTCCAGCCCCGCTCGAGATTCCGGGAGAAGCGGCGACAAGCACCAAGCAAGAAGCAGAAGCTTCTCTTTGCAGATGAGAAAACACTTGACGAGGCGAAGGCATTGCCATCCACGTCATTGCCATCTTAGGCCATCAGAAGACTCAAGCAAAAGGCCAAGATCAATTTGGTAAAGGTTGTAGGAGAAGACCTCTATCACGCCGATGAAGAGCTATCCACAGTTGCAGAAGAAGCTGATGAAGAAGACTGGGAGGAAGAAGGAGATGAAGAAGGAGAAGAGCATGATGAACTAAATGGCGCCGTAATGGAGAGCATGAACCAGAAGAAGACCTAGAAGAATGAATAGATCGTGTAGCTGATGAAGTTGAAGAGAAAAAATCCGAAAGATGCAAGCGCTAGCGGACCAGAAGGCAGCGCAGAAGGTATCAGTTTCCTGACTACACGTAGTGTGTACGATTGGAGAAAGAAGCCCTACCATCATGGGGATGGAACAACAAGCAAGAGGTGGAAGAGAAGATCAAGACTAGTTGCAGGAGAATTTGCTTTCGCTGAAGGAAAGAGAGATGGCATCTTTTCACTAGCGACTTCAGGTCGCGAAGGGTCAGTGAAGAGGAAGAAGCAAGAGAGGGAGAAGGAACATTTTCTCAAGTGCTAGGTTGTCTAGATGTGAAGGACGCATTCTTACAATTTCCGCACGAAAAGCCTTTAGGAGTGAGAATTCAATTACAAGTTCAGTGCTGCGTGTCCATGCCTAGGAAGACATGAGAAGAGTTTTTAAATTCACGCGGATGACTTGATTTTCACAAGTTGTTCAAAGTACACCAAAGAAATCTTTCTTCCAAAGATTCAAGACAGATTTGACACCAGCGTGACCCAGATTGAGAAAATTTGTGACGAATTCAACTTGCTGAGGAGAAAGTACAAACTTTATGGATCCAACCAGGCAACTACGTTCACCAGATGCTGAAGGCATATGAAGAACAAGTTGGAAATATCAATCTTCAACAACTACCCTCAGACAACTCAATTCAAATGGAAGACAAGTCAGAGATCTTGAATGATCAAGAGAAGATCAGCCTATTCAGAAGTATTGTTGGCGCAGGTATCTATCTTTGTCAAGAAAGATACAATGTCGAATCCAACAACTATGCCCTTTCAGCATTTTGAAAAAAGTTCCTAAGACTTTTGAAGAAGGCCATGGGCTATTTTCTATGAATTTCCAGAGGCAGGACAAGGCTATGTGAAGAAAGGTGAACATTGTTGGTGTCAAGAGACATTTTCAGACTCAGACTGGAGCGGAAACAAAAGCCATAGAAAGTCAACATCAGGAGGATTCCATGCGTTGAACAGTTGTCCATTGTCCAACAGCAGCAGAACACAGAAGACAGTTAATTAATCTTCATGTTGGAGAGGGTTGCGCGCAATGGTTTCCTCAGCTTCAGATGGCATATACATTGGTCCGGTTCTTGAGTTTGCGCTTGGGACAAAGGTGGCCCATTATATCTTCAAAGATTCTTCGAGCGCACACCAACTTGCGATGAAGACAGGAGTTTGAAAAGTGAGACATTTAGATGGAAAGTTGCTGTGGATTCAGAACAGCAAAGGCTTCGATGGTACAAGTACCAACAGACACCAGCATAGCAGACATCAACGCCAAGCCACTTGGAGGCCAAAGTATCAGATTTCTGATTAACCTTTTTGGTTCTTGGCACAATGGAAAAAAATCAAGAGTTGGTGAGCTTGAGAGAAAGGCGTATGAGGAGAAAAAGAACTTTGCACGCAAGATCAACAAAATTGCCAAGATGATTGTCAGAAATTGAAATTTTTGAGGGCTTGCAGCCAATGGCTACAGAAGCCACTACCTTCACGAAAGAGATTGACCAGTTGGAAGTAGAAGACTCGAATAGAAACTCGAAAATCACAATCTTCACGATCATCATCGTTGGTTTTGCAGCAATGACCTTCGCAATGTGGAGACTATGGAAGTATGTGGAAGATCGAATGGAGGCGCAAAGAAATTTCTTGTAGAGAAGGTGAGTGAATGCGAGATCAGGGTGGTAGAGCGTACACTGACAAAGCTCTGATATGATCTCAGAAACAATCGCAGGAAACTACTTGGCAAGAAGGAGCTGAGAACCCTATGTGACAAGAGGACAATATCATGGACACTATGTGATGTTAGAGGCAGCGACAGTTCAAGAACATGTGCGGGCATAAACGTTCGCAGGGTGGAGAACAATTGCTCGCGGCGCTGCAAAACCATGGGAACCCAGTGGCGCAGTGGTATGCAAAACTTCTGTCGCGTACCTGCGGAAACAATCGAAACTTGCACTATTTTTCGCCCGGCGGCAAAAATTTTGCCGACAAACGGCCCCCGTTTCGGGGTCCAGAAACGGACCCCAAAACGGGGGCCAAGTTGTCCGGACACAAGCAAATCAAATTGAGACTGAACGAGTGGCCTCCATTTTGGGGTCCGTTTCTGGACACCAAAACGGGGGCCGTTTTGTCGGCAAAAATTTTGGTCGCCGGGCGAAAAACAGCAAGAGTTTTGATGGTTTCTGCAGGTACGCGACAGAAGTTGTCCATGCCGCTGCTTTTCCATGGTTTTGCAGCGCCACAGGCACTTGTTCTCCACACCCTAACATTTATGGCCACACATGTTCTTGAACTGGGGAGGCCCTCTGTGGCGGGACCGGTTTTTGCTAGGGTTTTTGGACCCCAAACTGGTGTCCAGAAAAATAACTTTTTTCGATCCCTTGAAGGAGCAAAAAGTTTGGAAAACCTGTGAGGGTTGAGAATTGCTGGGGAGAAGGCATTTGGCCTGTATGATGTTCTTGATCGAAAGCAATCAAGCTTGTGGATCAATGGTCAGCTGCTTTTTTCGGCAGTCTGATTGCAGCCTTGCACGCTGGTGCATGTTTGTTTGCTACCAAG